GAATCGAACCAGATCTTTGATTTGTGCATTTCTCTCTCCACTACCTTTATCAACTGTTCCAGATTTTCACCAGAACAATAAACATTGGTGTCATCTGCAAACAGGACAAAATTGAAAACATCAGATACCTTACAAATCTCATTAATATAAAGTATAAATAACTTGGGTCCCAACACCGAACCTTGTGGAACTCCACAATTTATTCTCTGCAAATTAGACTACACCATTTATGTGCACATACTGAAACCTGTTAAATAATTTTCAACCCAAGAATGTGCTATCCCCCTGAAACCATATTTTTGCAATTTATATAATAAAATATTGTGATCTATTGTATCAAAGGTGGAAAAAAACTGGCTAACAGCAAAAAAACAGGAGAGTTGGAAGAACAGGACGGACAGGTGAATAAACAACCAAACCAGGAGGGTAGGTGAACGAAAACGGAAATCCACAGCACAGGAACTGTCAGCTTGGATAAAACAAGTAGCGTCTGGCTAACCTCATGGACAAAAAACAGACAAAGAGGTCCACAGCACAGGAACTGTCAGCATGGATGGGAGACTGGCTGGTTCGTTGGACGGGATTGAGTATAGCTAGCGCTTCTACGCCGATCACCGTGGGACAGGATTGTGGCCTCGTCGGACCAAGCGGTGGTTTGCAGGATCACGGGGCAATCGTTGGAGGGTCATAGAGAGAGGTGACATAACCCTGCATACCCGGACATCCTCCAGCGCTCCATCCACTTCCCAAGTGTGGTGATGTACACTGTTTCCATCCTTTTACGCAGAATGTGGTAAGCAAGTGAGTTTTCTTCTCAACTAGAATACAGGTTGGACTGTGCTAAAGACTCTCTTGAGTGGAGCTGTGGATATTGTTCCCAAGTGAGTCATATTTCACGTTTTGGAGTATCACCGTACGAAATTGGATTGAATGTCATTTTTGACTTTTGGATTTCCTGGATTTTTTTGAGTGAACTTTAACTTTTGAACTTTGGACACTGGTTATTAATATTTTCTTTGAGAGGACATTTTTGGTTTAGATGCTTAACCGAAACAGACACTGGTTATTAATATTTTCTTTGTCTATTATTGGTAGTTTTAATGCCAATCTGAACTGAGTTTGAGGTTTGAAAATATTTTTGTGTGTGAGAAACCAAACAGAAGAAGGACTAGAGAACTTGTTTTATTGATTGCTCCTATTTTCATACTCTTCACTGAATAAATTTTGTTGTTAATCTGAACTTGTTTAAGGTATATTCCCATACTAAGGAGTGGGGGCGTCTCTCTTATCGTGTTGGTCTGGGGAGGAGTGGGTTGTGCATTTAGGAGGAGGATTTCACCTGCATACATACACACTCCAGGGGCCATCGTGTATAAAGTAAATCCTGGAGCCCACCCCACCTTGACTATAGCTCGCCTGAGCAACACGATAAGTACGAACATATACCAACTGCTATATAGAGACCTAAAGCACTGGGTGGGGGGACCAAGATCCTGTTACTCACTCAGTCTTTCTTAGTTAGGGTTCATTATTCCCCCCACAAGGCGGTGGCATATTCCCCTCCGCCACACGTATAACACAAAACATATAACCAACGTACAAAATGCGATCCACAGCACAGGAACTGTCAGCGTGGAAAACAAAATGACATACAAATACATACCACGACTATAGGGCTGTTACGGGGCATGCACGTTAACGCTCCGGCGATGGCGGAGCGTCTGCCAGAGGTATAAATAAGGTAGGAGGGTGATTACAGTAATGCGCCCCAGCTGTGCGCAACAACCCACAAGTCACTAATTACAAAATGCGACACAGCTGAGGCGTTGATTCCGCAAAAAGAGCGAGCAGGAGAGAGAAAGGCAGAAGAGAGGCAGGTCACACCGAGCGGACCTGACATATTTAATTCAATATAATTATCCAGCCTTTTAACAAATAACTTTTCTAATATTTTGGAAAATTGTGAAAGCAAAAAAATGGGTCTATAATTATAATTACTCTGCATAGTATACCTAGAACTATTAATGTGTTTCCTTTTATATGTAAACCAATGTTAGATAATGGTCTGACAAGTGTATTTATTATGTATTCTATTTATTACAATATGAAAATATTTTAAAATAACAGTTAACTGGGAGGAAATGTGGGGGTTTTAGAAGCAGCGTTGTCCACAACCCTTAACTCTGTTTCTTTCTTTGTGCATAAAATAAATGACTCCTATTTTAAGTTGTCCTTACTTCTGTTTTACCATTTCCATGTTTCCTGCAAATGTAATGAGAAAGAAGGATAAGGGAATTTCAGTAGTGTTATATGTTGGCATGGCTGCTTCCCTTTAAGAAGAAGAGGAAGGAAGGAAGTGGAAATTACTGATTAGAGAGTGTGAGTAACCAAGGCTGCCATCATCAGCGCCATCTTAAGTTACTGTTTACTTGCCCCTTGCATGGGGATATGTACATGCACATTGAGAACCGATGCACCAAGGTCAAATTCCTTGTGTGTCTGACATGCCTGGCCAATAAAGCAGATTCTGATTCTGAGTATTACTGACACATACCAGTAAAGAGCAAATTCCTTCCCTGCACAGTATAGTCTTTAATCTTACATTGGTTTTCATCTTTTGCAACCAGTTTAGCCTCCCATGAGCAGATAAACTGTTGGGAATAAAAATTATGTTGAAAAGAATTAGAGCCTAAGCCTTAAACTAGCTCTCCCAGACAAAAATCTCAATGAAGTAAATTTCTGAATGTATTTATACTGCTCAGGTGATCTTTAAATTCAGTTGATCTTTAAATGAGCATCTATGTTTGAGATTGAAGCAAAGATGACTCAGACTTCTTGCTGCTGGCCCTGCAGCTACAGTGCCAAGTCCTTTAAAAAATTTAATTATAGTATTTATTGTTTTTCCACATAGCAAGTCTTTAGAAGGTAGAAAAGATACACCGGTAATGTAAAGAAGCTAATAACTCTGCGCTGCTGCCGATGCTGTTTAATGAGTCTGGGTCACAGGAGGCTTTGACAGCACCTCTCCACATTAAGACAAGCTTTGGAACATAGTTCTACAACAGAAATATGTGTAAAAAGTTTCATATGGTAGCTTTAAGTCCTGAATTAACATGGTAAGCAATGATTGCAGGTTATTAGTGTTGCATAGTGGTGGAAAGGTGCATTACAAAGTACTGTAAAACGTTGACAACCATGCTTTGAATATTTTCTTTTGACAACTTCATATTTCTACAGAATTCCACATATTATACATTTTACTCCACTGCATTTATTTATTTGATAGTTATAACCTTCTGATGAATTCAGATTAAATCTAATTAGAGATCATGTTACATATCATGTTATATATAACAGGTATAAATCAGTTAAAATGAGTTCCACCTTGGTCAACTGCAACCTCAAAATGCTGCTTACATTTTAGTGTATGTACGTAACCTATATATAACAACATACCTTTAATAATCTGCAAAATCAAAACTTACTTGTTACACTTTTATACTAGGCTAAGTATATTTTTCTGGCACTTCTGCACTTTTGTTGTTTGGAACATTGAATAGCTGTAAACATTAGCAGCAACACCCTGGCGTTACACTGATTTGGCGACTATTTTCCAAAGAAGCTGAAATCAATAGCAATAATTATACTTGTAACATTTTAAAACTCTCCAAGTTTTACTTTCCTGCCTGAGTATAGTCTCAGTTCCTTCTTATGTCAACTCTACTTGAATTAACCTTCATAAAACAAACAATTGTACATCATCTTTGATGTTAACAAAGCAAAATAAGCTTCCAAGCCACAAAAGTAGTCACTTCTATAGCATAAATGTGACTGATATTTAACGAGTAAAAATAAATTTGTTTGTTTGGTGCCAACTTGATGGTGTAATGTGGTGTTTTCTTTGTGTTTTATGTCTGGTCTTAATTTTTAATTTCACTTAAGTAATAATATTTGCAATACAAAGGTGAATTAGACCAAAAAGCTCGCTCATGCAGACACAGCGAAGCAAGGTCAAAAGCTGATCGACACCCTGAAGATGGAGAAAGACGCCCTTCAGTGTGAGCGACAGACAGAAAAGCTCTCTCATGCAGACACAGCGGAGCAAGGTCAAAAGCTGATCGACACCCTGAAGATGGAGAAAGACTCCCTTCAGCGTGAGCTACAGACAGAAAAGTTCACTCATGCAGACAGGGCGGACCAAGGTCAACAGCTGATCGACAACTTGAGGACTGAGAATGACAGCCTTAGTAAAGAGATGGCAGAAGAAGTCCTTAGAATGCAGAAAGAAGCTGATCATAAGGCCTTGCTCTATCAGAGAGAGCTGCAGCAGCTGAGAGATCAGCTCAAGCTTCAAACCTCACTCACTCTGCAGCTCTCCACTCAGCTCGAGGCTGAGAAACTCTCCAGCTGTGAACAGCCTGAGCCTGAACCATGCGAGGACCAGGAGCCCCTCCCTAGTGCCCTCCATGATGAAGAGCTCACAGAGAATGCTGTGGTCTCTGAAAAGATCATCACAGAGACGACAAAACAGAAATCACGCTGGAAAAGATTCCGCCACTTTCTGGGGCTGAGGAAACCACAGAAGTGGAAGAAATAAACCAAACCACTTTCACAGCAGATATTTAAACTGGAATCATCTGACAAGTCAAATGGCTGCTGTTAAAACTTTCTAAAAAAAAATTAATCAATTTGGCCAGATGTTTTACTAAATCACATGACAGGGCCGTCACACCATCACCACCACCACATCCATTGTTTATATTACACATTATGACTCAAATGTTCAATCTTAGAAAATAACTTATGTCAACTAAATATTGTGCAAAGCAAATATGGTCTTAAGTGAAGAAAATGCGTCAAAACGCGTTTTACACCCTTTTGACTGTCTCTATCAAACAGTGGGTCATTAAATAATTAGCTAACTAGCTAAATTAGCTGAGCCATCTAAACCAGCACAACACAGAATTAGTTTGCAAGGTTGCACAAGCCATTAAGAATAGTAGCCGTTGATAAATCCCGCCGTTTCCTACAGAGTACAGTGGATTTTAATCCATTGTTAGGCTAGTGGTTAAGGCGCAGCGTTCTCGCCGCGGTATCCCAGGTTCGAATCCAGGTTACGTCAGGAAGGGCATCCGGCGTAAAACACGTGCCAAATACGAGTCGTCAGGGGCGACCCCTAAACGGGAAAAGCAGAAAGTGATCTTATTTTAAGGTCCACGAGTCGCATGACCAACAGGCCTTTTTCTTTTTTTAAATACACCCTTAAATGTTGCAACTCTTTTGTCTTAGTGGCTCTGGTTTTAATCGTGTCTACATTATTGTCATGACGTATAGATGTTAGCCATAAGCTAACAAATTTATTACACACTCTTCTTTCTGTTATAAGTCGGTCTTACGTTACATAAGGCTTCACTATGAAAATTCTCACCTGATGTGTAAGTATATGTTAGCTAGCTAAATGAAGTGTGGAAATAAGTAATAATAAGTTACTGTTATTTTGGCCCAATGAAGCTAACTTAACGGTTCACGTATTAGCTGACGTTAAACATGGCTATAACTAACGAATCAATATGAAGCTTTATAGAGTTTTCTTGTGAGTTTCAGCTCATTGTTAAACTATCTGGTCTAACCTTACAACTTTACTGTTTTCAACTAACGTTAGAGTTTAAAGTCTTTTAAAAAGTTCGCCCTATCAAAATAAGTGATATTCTGTGTCCACAAGTGTTTCTGCTAAGTGGCCCAAATAAATCCATACTGCGTTTAAATATTGCTCCAATTTTTATCAAAAAAATCAAAATCAAAAAACTAATGAAAAACACTTGTAGGATTACGTTTTCATGGCAGCGGCTCTGGAAAGTCTATTAGGAGGAAGGGGGCCCGTTTTTGGTCCCCCTGGCACAGATGGTGATGACGGCGAGGAGGAAGACTCACCAGCAGTAAGCAGAGACCTCACACGCCAGCACAGCAGAAGATAGTTGCAGCAGTCATATGCACACTTCTGTGTTCACATGTTTATCGCCAGGTTTTACTGAGTGTTTTGGTCCAGCATGGACAGGTTGGCCTTTGCTTCTATGACACTAAGGACTCTTCTTTAAACTACATGGTAGATTCCCCTGACAACCACGAGCTCCACCTGCTGGCCAGAGGTAAACAGTACACCTGTCATTGACAGCTTTCCTCAAACAGTAACAGGTTTCCAAGTTTTAGGTATTTTCTATGTTTCAAAATAAGAATAGTGTCCATAAAGTGATGATTTTTTACCTTACTATCTGCACTTCCTGTTTCCCTTGTATTTCTTATTTAGTTATCCAGGAGGTTAGTCCTCATGTAATCATTACCAGTGCAAAGCAGGAACGCTGTATGACCCGCTTCCTGCAACAACTTGGTGAGCTCTGAGAGACAAAAGTTATTTTAACATGGAATGTTTTTTTTTTTATGTGAGACGAGTAGTTTCTAGGTCAAGGGAATGAATATCATTAGGGATAATTTACACTGCAGTGGTTGTATAGCTACTATACAGTGGTTTATAAGGCTTTTTTTCTGAGCACACAGTAGTAACTCAGTGTGGTTAAAGTTATTTCTACCATGTGAAACTGGTGTCTAAAGTGAAAATAGCACATTCTTTCTCTTCAGCACCAGTCAGGTTTTTCAAAATGCTTTCTGCCATATCTCAGGTTCAAACCCAGACTACAAACCAGAAGTGGTGACTTATCCATACACTGACTTTGGTAAACAGAAGAACAACCATATATTCTCATTCATTTTTGTCTGTCTATTCTTCAGTTTGCATGGTTTTCCACAATAAACAGCTCAATTTCAAGTCAACTTTGAATGTTGCAGGTCTGGAAGTTGGTAAGCAGAGGCTACTCTCTGCCCATCTGCCTTTCCTCCCCTCCTCCATTTCAGAGAGAGACAAAATGTCCTACCTCTCCTCCTGTATCTCCTTTGACTCAGCCCTGATGGTGAGCCTGCTGTCTACATATCCTATCCATAAGTCCATCATTCTGGAGGAGATGATCACAAACTGTCCATCATTTCCTTGTGTTTTTTTGTTCTTTTTTTTGTTGGTGTGTGCGTGTGTTCATTGTGTAGTTGAGGGCAGTGGGTGCTTTACTAAAATGTCTGGACAGGAGGAGAGTGGGAGTGGAGCTGGAAGACAGTAGTGTTGGAGTTCCTATCCTGCAATTCCACGCCTACACACTGTAAGACACACAAAAATGTGTGCTATCTGTACACACACAAATAAGCCCGTTATTACACATTTTCAATAATGAAGACTCTAAAAGAGTTTTTTTTTCAATGAATGATATTTATTGCACTGCAAAGTATACGTACGTACATTTACTACACTTTCAATGTTACCATGTTCAGTCTGTCATCCTAATGTAGGAAAGGCGTGGTTTGTATTGACCGAGACACATACAGGTAAGAATACACAGTTTACAAGTCATTCCAAGGTTTTCTCATGATTACATACATGATGTCTACTAAACTAAACTATGTTCCTTAAAGCTGACAGGTATCCACTAGATATTCCTTTAAGTGTTCATTCCACCTACTAGCAGATTTTTACTTTATTATTATTTGTAAAATATAATAAGACTTAAATATGAACATTTTATTTGCATTATATCTTTATTTTCAGATTATTTAGTTTTAGTTCTTTATTAACTGGTGTGGTTTGGTGCCTTTTCTGATGCACACTAGTAAGAAATACCTTATATAGATCAGGGTAGCTATTACTGTAGATTATGCAGGGAGACACATAGAGAAAGGGGTGGACGTGTGACAGAGATCACCATGGACTCTGTATTGTTCCAGTGTACTGCAGATATTCAAGTCAGAACTTCACCCATCTGTGTACAAACTGAACTCGGGTGAAAAGGAAGGACTCAGCCTTTATGGTATGCAGTTCAGACTGTAGCAAGCAGACATAAGCTCCTTTTTGGCTAATGTCATGCTATTTACACCAGTAACTCATCTTTATTTATTGCAGGTATACTAAACCGCTGCAGGTGCAAGTTTGGCTCCAAACTGCTACGGTGAGGAACACGTCTTGCAGTATAAGGATTTTTATTAGAAAATGTTACTTACAGTATTTCAGCAGACCTTCAATATCCACTAAGACTAAACTCGTATCTGTGTTATCATGCTGTATAGCAGATGTGCCACACACTGCAAAGCAAAGGAAAATGAAGCACATTTTTTGTCTAACAATTTACAAACAAACCACTATGCTACTGTTTTGCAATTCAGGCAGAAGATTTGTGCTTGTCCCAGGAATTTCAAGCTTTGCATACTGATGTTTGTTTCTATGATAATGAGAGAAATGCCTGTGCTTCTCCAATAAAATGCATCATCTGTGTTTTGATACTGCAACCAGTGCTAGTATGGTGATTTTAATTGCATGCAGTATTTTTCTGGGAATGTATATTCATCTAAATTTGCCATTTTCCTTACGTAAGCTTATTTTTAAAATATTTTTTCATTCAATCAGTATATTCTGGTTAATGTCAGAGGCTGGAAGCTCAAACGTTTGCTAATTTGTACTATTTGCTTTATAGATGTAACATAATAAGTGATGTCCTCTTACAGTCAGTGGTTTCTGCGGCCAACGCAGGATTTGGCTGTGTTGCACAGGAGGCAGGAAGTAATACGTTTCTTCACTTCTCCTCGTAACTCAGATGTCCTGAACACCCTGCAGTCCTCACTACGCAACATCACAAACATCCCGGTAATAACGCTGACCAGTGGCTTCCTTTCTTCTCCACATCTGGGACCATTTATCTCCATACATGCTGTGTCACTATCTGAACATTAACATAATGTCATCCACCTAAAGCCTGTGTGTGTGTGTGTGATAGACTCTTCTGCACAGGATGGCTCTTTCTCACACCAAAGTGACCGACTGGCAAAGTCTTTACAAGGTTGGAGCTACAGTATTTCCAGGCACAATATCATTATATTACAGTGTGTGTTACATTAAGTGTGCGTTTGTGTTTGTGTCAGATGGTGCACAGTGCAGTGTGTATTAGGGACACGGTGCGACACCTGCCTCAGTCTATTCAGCTCTTTCATAACATCAGTGTTGGGTTTTCTGATGACCTTCCCTATATGGCCTCTCTCATCAACCGGGTTGTGAGTTTTTCTTCTCATGTAGCATCATCACCCAAATCAAATCCACAGCCCACACAAAAAATATGCACATTCATATACTCTATGAACACAATTTTGGAAACCTCCTGGCTTTTGTTGTGATGCTTAGAAGTACACACTAATTATGCAGACTCGATTGAGAGTGTGAGTTTGAGTCCATCTCATTTGGGGCATGTAGGTGGATTTTGAAACCAGCCTAGCTGAGAATTGGTTTTCCATCAAAGCTAATGTGGACCCTGCAATAGATGAGAGTAAGTGCAGTCAAGTAAGTTTAGGTTTTGGTTCTGCTTGAACCTTACATGCTTGTTTAATTGAACTCTTTGGTATGCGCTGTCCTTCTGACAGAGAAGAGGAGGATGATGGGGTTGTCCAACTTCCTGGCAGATGTTGCTAGAAGAGAGCTGGAACACCTGGATGCTCGCATCCCGTCCTGCTGTGTCATCTACATCCCTTTGGTCTGAGCTTTATGTCTACCTAACAGTTAGCTCATATCTTTCCAAAAACTATTGGAACATCATCAGTGCTCATGTTCAATCTTGTTGCAGATTGGATTTCTGCTTTCTGTCCCTCGCCTGCCCAGTATGGTTTTGAAAGAGGATTTTAAGATAGAGGGGCTTGATTTTATGGTGTGTTTATCATCTTTTACTATTTGTTTGTCATTTTTTGTAAAGACTTTGACTGCTTCATTTGTGTGTTGATACCCATGCGTGTGGTCTGCTGTAGTTCCTGTCAGAGGACCGTGTGCACTACCGCAGCCAGAGAACCAAGGAGCTGGATGACCTCCTAGGAGACTTGCACTGTGACATTAGAGGTCTTTTACTTTCTCACTAACTTTCACCTGATAGCTGCACTGTAAAAAAAAAAAAAGGTTTCCTGTTTATTTTACAGATTTTCCCTGTATTTCCAAGATACATGGAAATGGGCTAAAGTTAAAATAACAGGAAAATCCTGTAGCTGTGAGTTACTACAAAGAAGATTTCCTAATAAAATAGCTACAACTTCATAATAATTTAATGAATATTTACCATTTACTGTTTCACAATTTGAGCTAGCAGATTTCCTAGCATGCATTATTTGAGAGTTAAAACTCTTCAGTTTCTCATTTTTTCCAGTTTGACAAACCCATTCATGGTGGAAACTTACTGCGTATGTAATACATACGAAAGTAAGTCTGGGTCGATATTTTGCATATTAAAAAATTATGCAAACCACAATGAAGGTTAGTATTGAATTCAGCGTCTACCCCTGTACATTTAGTTTTCAACAAAGCCACTGGAAACAGCCCTCCATGCAGTTTTTGTACCTCCTTGATGCAGAATGGCTTTTAATAGCTGCAATTAACCCTGTAAAGCCTGACACGTCAAAAAATAGCCAGAACATTCTAATTTTTTAGAATTGAGATGTTTATTAAACCTTTTAACAAAATCCAAAATATAATTCATGATTCAAAATTCAAGCCATCGTTGATTTTAATGTCATTTTCAGGCACCCTGGCTGCCAGAATAATATTACAGTTTAATTTGACTTGTTTTGTCTTTAAACAGTGTGGACACCTGCCAGCTTTACAATGGTAAACTTCTCAAGATGCTTTCCTAAAGGTATTCTTCCTATTTCTCAGACATGGAGACAGCAGTAATGACGCAGCTGCAGAACGCCATCCTCGAGAGGAGTGCCTCCATCTATAAGGTTGGTGTTCATGACTGTGCACTTCCAGCCTCTAGTGTGTTAGAACATCACTCCCACTCTGATAAAAAGACTGCTGGCCTGACAGCAATGCTGATAACGTGTAGGTGGATTCTGTTGTGATTAACTATGTTTTTCCTTTAGTTGGAACATGCTGTTTATTTTGATTATAAAACCAGTCATGATCTCATTACAAGTTCTTTTCAAGTGCTGCGGTATTTGTCTCATGATAGATGTGCTGCTGTCACAGGCTGTAACGACAGATTTTATTATTTTTGCTGCCAGACTGAGCATAAAAATCAGATGATGAATTATAGTGTTTACAGTTTTGTAGTTTTGGCTTGAATTCTTTATGTATTAGGCAGATTGCTACTGTGTAATCAAAGTAATCTAAAAGAAGCACTTAGCTTTATTAAAATACAGACTTGCAGTGTTTCAAGCTTATTAAAATTTGTTAGTGATACTTCACCCAAAGGCTCTCTTTTAAGAATGACACACATTTATTCCTACGATGATTAGTCTTTCTGAAGGAAAAACCATAAACCACTCACGTAACATAATCTTTGTTGTTGCTGTCCAGTATGTTCCAAATGTTTAGTTTCACTAAAATGTGGTTAGATAGACGGCTTTCATCTTAATCCTCATACATGACAATATCAAGACTGCAAGTAGGCTGTTTATCTGTTGGTACCGTAAGGAGACATTGTGAGTTTAATGTTTGTGTTGTGTAGGCCCTGGATCTTATTGCTGAGCTGGACTGTCTGATGGCGATGAGCAGTGCCTCCCAAGAGTATGGCTACACCTCACCAAAGCTAGCCAGCCACAGGAACATAACAATCACACAGGGCAGGTGGGCAAACACACATGAGCATGCAACAGTTATTACAGTACATGATTGTGCATTTTTGTATTTAATTGTTATCTAGACACCCGCTGTTGGGACTGTGCTCTCCTGTGTTTGTGGCCAACTCCTTCCAGAGCTCAGAGTTGCAGGGCAGAGTCAAGATCATCACTGGGCCCAACTCATCTGGCAAGAGCATTTACCTCAAGCAGGTAGGACCTTCGGGAAAAACTGGTTTGTCGTTGTTGTTTGGGAGGTTTTGGTATCAAACATTTCTTTTCTTCAACCTGTTTCTGCCGTCATAATGTAGAAGATTTATGTTTTACCTTTCCAACTATTTTATATGATTATTAGCAAAAGGTTTGAAGTTGTGACTTACAACTTCATCAAAAACACATTTAGAGTAGCATAACGAAGGGTTGCAGTTTCATAATAAGTTTCATTTTAGACTCAAGGGGGATCTTTGATTTCCTGGCTATTTATGAGCTGTGCTGATCTGACTTCTGTCTCATATTTGTTCACACTCCAGAATTTGTAACGTATCTTTGTTCCTGCTTTGATTTTGCCAGGTGGGACTGATTGTGTTCATGGCTCTGATTGGCTCAGACGTTCCAGCAAAGGAGGCGGAGATCGGTCTGGTAGATGGGATCTTCACCCGTATGCAGAGCAGAGAGTCTGTGTCTCTGGGCCTCAGCACCTTCATGATAGACCTTAATCAAGTACCTAACACACACACACACACACACTTTTATGTACGCAAGCTTAACAGTGTTTATAGCATGTGAGTCTGTGTCTGTGGGTGTAGAAATAAAAGACATGAACTTCCAGCAGCCCTGTCCTTCAGCTTCACTCCCACTTTCCACATGTCAGGAGATTTTAATGTAGTCGTTACTGCCTGCAACCATAACAGACACATACACACAATTAAAAAACAAAGTGTCGTATACTGTAACTGTGTGTGTGTGTGTCTATTCCCCAGATGGCCCAGGCTCTCAACAGCAGCACTGGCAACTCATTAGTTCTCATTGATGAATTTGGAAAAGGAACTAACACAGTAAGAAGAAACTGTTCCAGCACTTTGTGAATTATATACATATGTACACAAACAACAAGGACACACAGTGTCATTAATGTGAAGCACCTGAAGCCAGTTTCAGCCAATATTATCCAGTTTAGAGCTGCAGCACAAACAGACCTTCAGTTCAGCCCAACATATGCCACCTATCAGCATGAAAATCACTGCAGCTGTTTAGATCCGCAAATATAGGAGTGTGGATGTGCGCCATCTACAGGCAAATGAAATCGTAACACTTTGCTTTTCATCCCCCTATTTGGCACTTATACACATTCATTTAACAAATAGTTTATAACACAGTATAATCTAGTTATATATTGTAAATGTTTATTAATCTGCACTATTTGTCAACAGTTTTAACTTTTCTTCTGACGACATGTTTTACATTACAGTTGTGTTGTATTGTTTTGTCATCCCTTATCTGTTATATACCAGATATAAACACTTGCATTTGGTAAAAATTACGATATGTTATAAACCATTTATTATGTTTGTACTATGTATAAGTACTCAATATGGGGGCTTGTTTTGTGTTTTTTATTTTATTTTAACTGCAGTAAGTGGAGCATAATACTGCTGAATACTTGGAAGAGTACAGTGTTCACACTGCTCTAGGTTTCATTATATCCTTCATCACTGTCTGACAAGTAACTCTGGAGAGGAACAGAGAAAGTCCAAACCATTTCCATTTGTCTAAAGAAGCAGCAGTATGGTAGGTAAAGGCCAAAAAGGCAACAAAAGAAAATGACCAATTTAGGTAAAAAATAATAATAATAATAATTATTTAAAAAAAAAACTAATTCGGCCTAGGAGGCATTGTTTTAGGTGTGTTCAGGTTTACTTTTCACATACCCTTGACAAATTATACACTGTTTGAAAGCCCCAAATCCCCTGATTCTATCTGCAGAAAGCCTTTTAGGATCCCAAACAAAAATGACAGTGTGGATGGGGTCGCTCTTAGTGACGACACTACAGAGAGTTATCACCTGAATCAGCTCCAGCACTTTGCTTAGGTAGAAGTCCACAGTCTGTTTTGGCTCAGTCTTGCTTCTTTCATTGCTTCGCTTTCAACAGTAACAGGCAGCTGTTTTCAGGGAAAAAAGACAAAAAAAAACAGTAGAAACCCACACTACACTACCTCCCATCACCAGACAGTAAGACACAGTTAGCAACTAGTTGGTGAACACAGTGGAGCGTGTAGCAGCTAGAGCTGTTCCCTCATGAGTTGCCAGAAACATGACTCTAAAGTACTGAATGTGTAAATAAGCAAGTATTTGTTAATTTTTCACCATTTCAAAGGTGACAATTTGTTAGTATTGTGTTCACAACCTGTTCCTGCTTTCCCCAAATGGACAAAAAAATTCATTTACTACATGCCTGGTTATATATTCATTGTTAAAATAGACAACATAAAAACAACACGACTAAAAAAGGAAGTGCAGCTGTAACAGTCGACACCTGCAGGTGGTACATGTGTTAAATTTCAGCAGTTACTGCTTTCTTTGCCTGTAGGTGGTGACATGTATCATATAGCTGCATCATCAGGCTCTTTTGTCATGCATCTTTCCCCACATTTCCTATCTTTCCTCTGCAAGCTGTCAGAAATACAGCTAGTTGGAATGTTTCAACGTTAACATATAACTTTGTGATTATATGTATGCAATGTCATTAAAATAGACTAGACGATATTTACTTGCATAGGTCATTTTTATTCCTTTATTGTGGATATATGTTTACTGTATGTCATAAATCTATACATTCAATCAAGACATAATTACTCACTGTGACATGATTGTTGCCAGTAAACAGCAGTTCATTTGCAAAGATGACTCATTCACCTGTAAGATTAGCATTGATTAAGTTAACATCTGTTTTTCTACAGAGTTTCTGTAACAAGCAAAAGCTTTCTTGATCAGAAACAAAGTCAACACTATAATATTCCCCTTCAGGTGGATGGGCTGTCCTTGCTTGCTGCGTCTGTCTCTCATTGGCTGAGAAAATCTCCAGTGGATGTTCCTCACATCCTGTTGGCTACTAACTTCCACAGTTTGCTACAGCTGGGCCTGCTACCCTCCTCTGTCCTGCTGTCTCTTCTGGTACTGAGAGATACTTCAGCTATGTGATTGTTGAGCAGGGTTCTATGATGGTAAAGTTTTGCAGAGTAATGTTGACAGTAGAAACATTCAAGGGCCCAGTTAACTAATGAGACTCCTTTGTTTAGGTAGTTGTGTATTTGTGTGTGTGTGTTAGACTCTAGAGACAGCTGTAGACGGGGATGAGTTGGTGTTTCTGTACCAGCTGAAGGAAGGGATCTGCCAGTCCAGCTGTGCTGCCAGCATCGCCTCACTGGCAGGTCTGCCAGCTGGTCTTGTGCAGAGAGGAATGGAGGTAAACACACACAAATGCAGTGATACACAAAGCCATACTCACATGGCCTGATTGTTTGATTGTGTGTTTGGTCAGGTATCTGAACATTACAGGACAGGAAGGCCCATCAAACGCACTGACCAAGCAACATCAGATGAGCAGTCAAACAGGTTTGTTGAACTTTAGCAAAACCACACTAGAGAGCATTGTGTGTGTGAAACACACTGGCGTGTATGTTTGTGTCACCGACAGGTACAAGTCTGTCGTGGAGAAGTTTCTGGGTCTGGACCTGGATGACAAAGACTTGGATCTGCAACGCTTCATGAAAGAGGAGCTCCTGCCCTCTGCTGGAGAGGTGCTGGGCAGCAGGTGAACCGTTCTGCTTCTGCAAACATGTTTCTGCTGCTCTGTGAGCAGTTTGTCCGTTCGTTCCTCAGTGTTGTCCCTCGGTTTGAGAGAGAGCAGACTGTAAATGATGTTCTACCAGGACTTGATGTGTTTATCCACACTAGGATGGTGTCACAGTAACACGTTAATATCCTGCATGTGTTAACAGAGGTTTATGTTGGAGTAAAACAAAATACTCATCCTAATATTTTTTTTTTGTTAAATTTAAATACTGTATCTATGTTGTGACATCTAAATTAATAAATTTTAATAGATCTAAATTAATAAATTTTAATGCAATTTTGTCTAAGTATTGTTTTCTAATTCAGACAATACAAAATTATGTAAAGCTGGTGATTTTCCTTCACCATAGTTAAAGTTCTTTCAGCATCACTTCATTTGTATTGTTATCCTGAAGTTGGAGTGAGGTGCCAGGTAGCAAAGAAAGCCACAGTGAGGTAAGAGTATCGACTGGACGTTTGTGCACCACGTTGCAGCAGTGTTTGGTCATGACAATAAATTACAGTAAACCACATTTTAGGCTTTTGGTTTACCTTGGTAACCTTTACACTTTTTCTAAGGCTTAGATTTTAATTAAGAAACATACACTGACTAAAATATAGTCTCATCCAACACACCTGCCCTCGCTTGGCCTGTGTAGCACTGCTCCCCGAGGCTGCAGTTGGTTTTGGTGGTGTAGCAGGCATCCCAGAACCCAGGTCACATTGAAAACACTCCAGCAACTTTTCCACAAACCCCACTGACTCTGAGCTGCTCTGGCTGCTCCTCCTCCTCACCTGAGCCCCAACGCCCCAGATGCAGTACAGTATACCACAGTACACTGTCTCTAACAACTAAATCATTTAAATGGGTTTTTAAAAAAGTTAATAATGTCCATTATACTGAAAATTGTCTAACATAAAGGTGACTGATACAAATCAAATACATTCATTTATCCAAAAAGGCAGGATAAATTCTGCAGTTGCAGACTAAACAATATACAAAACAACATAAGGCTACAGGTACAACAATACTAAAATAAAATAATGACATAAGACTACTAGAGACTATACAGTCATAAACTGTGCACAGTAGATCAGTCAGATTAATGAATCAAATGCTTTTGGCTGTTCAGATTTTGAGGCATTTATGTACCGTAATAACAGACACACCTATTATTCAGGGGCTGTGTGAAGTGTTGCAGGGCTGTTGGAGGACATGGAGCCAAACTGATGAGCCACATCCTGCCAAGTACTTGAGCATCTCGGAAATATTTTGTTTATTCTGCAGAAGTCTGGCATTGGTTTCTCTGAGCGGATGACTTGTGTTTTTCGGAGAGCGCTCCAAGACAACGTGTTTTTATTAACAAGACAGATACTGGAATTAATCAAAATGTTGGCAGCAGAACACAATGCAGGAATATGGCTGCTGCTAACTGGTGTCACACATTAGCTCTTCAAATGCAAAGAGGGCACTTCCTAAATGAGGCAGTGTGAAATTGGCTACGGAGCAAAAGGTTTTCTAACTTCATCAAATGTGGCTGAAAAATCCCTTTGAAGTTAAAGTCTTTGCTTTAAGCTCATATTCACTACACTGTCTCATATTTAGGTAACTACAAAGACAGCCTGTTTAAACACAACAGTATATTAGCATCTAAGCTGCTTTGGAGTGTGAGAGATTTAGGTTTGGAGTTCGTTGTCAGATGGCTGGCTTCAGTCCTGCTACAAGGCTGCTGCTGGAAAAAAGACTAATCTCTTCTTCAGGGCTGTAAGATGAGTTTCAGTGGGACTTTCAATCTTTATCCCCTCTCATCTTGTTAGCTGTTGTTGGCTCAGGTGAACGCGCAGAGAGGAGAGAGGTGAAGGAAAAGTAGATTTACTGGCTGGTGTTTTTAACCTGCAGTGATCGTTGTTTTAACCCTGTGGCCTATACACAGCTGTGACTTTATTAGATATACCATTTCTAATGCAGTCTGCAATAAATAGCTAAACTTTAATGAAGCGTGGACAATAAATAGCTAAACTTTAATGACGCGTGGACAATAAATAGCTAAACTTGAATGAAGCGTGGAATGGTCTTTGTTTTACTGGAGACGCTGATTTATCTTTATGATCAGTTTGGATGATTATCTACATATAATTTATCTGCAACTGTGCTGACAAACAAAAATGCCAGTTACTGTATTTAATGGCCCCAGCATTTCAGATGAGACTATCTGCTTTTCCTTGTCTTGCATTATGGTAAATTGGATATTTTGGGTCGTGGATTGTTGGTCAGACAAAACTAGACAACTGAAGATGTTACCTTGGAAACTGGAATAAACAGTTCTCGCTGTTTTCTGATGAAGTTCATTAATTCAGCGAGAAAATGATTAATAATGAAAATAATCACTATTTTTTCCCAATGTGTTGTAGCGCTGTTGTATTAGACAATAAGTGTTTTATTTAGGTGTACCTAATAAACTGAGTATATAGAGCATTTACCTCCCAACCAAATCCTTTTCTATATATAAAAATGAGACTACCAATGTAAATACACAGATATATAATCAAAAATAGACCCTGTTGATATTTCATAAATGCCGTAGGCTACTACATATATAATTTTACTGAATCAAATCCTTATATGTACAGTACATAATTGTTTTATTTGTAAGACAGCTGTTGCTAAAATGTTTGTATTAGTTGTTGGTGGACTGGGGTAAAATGCAGTAGTTCTAGTAGCAGTAATCCTGTAGAACAGAATATTCACCTACTACAGATCCAGGTCATCTTACTTTGTACAGATATGAGCATTATAATGGCAGAAACACAGAATATTAGTCCTTTCCTCTTCGGCACAGCACTTCTACCGGTGACTGCACCGTGAGGACTGCTGAGGAGACAGGAAGCAGAGCTGGAATTGGATTAGTCATGAAGGCACCTGTTGTTTATCTCACAGCAGTTGCACCTGCCGAAAGGCTGCAAATGGTCAAGCAAGGCAAGTTGTAGGGAATAGCTCCGAATTACAGACCTGATCTATGAGGGAAGAAAAATTGGTTTTAAATGTCAGAAAATGTCATTTGGTTTATTAGCTGCTTTAAATGAAAATATAGCATGAATGTTACACATAAAACCAAGCTGATAAGTCATCACTCTGTTTCTAAAAAACTATTTGTCAGAGAAAGACAAAAGTTAAAACTCCTCAGTGGTGGGAAGCATTTCTCCATCCTGGCCATGAAGACGTCTTAAGTGAATCCCTTTTCTCGCTGTGACAAGTGACGTCTGTTGGGGAGGGGGACATTTTTTCAGACTGTCATCATCAGACTGGTTGATCCTCTGTTGTCTTTTTCTAGCCTACCAAAAATTGTAGATCACCACCCCTCCCTCTCTTAAAGAACACAGAAATTGCACGTCTTGAGTCAGTGCAGAGTTAAGCAGCCTACATCCTCCTGTCTGTCTGCTCAGATATGTATCCATGCACATACACACACACACACACACACACAGAGCTCTAAGAGAAGGCGATTTGATTCAGTTATGTTCTCAATGCAGCTGAATTATGTAACACTGCCATACACACCTGTTGTACACACAAGCAACCTCAGAGTTTTCTTGAATTCTCTCTTGCTGCAGTAATGGTCACATCTGTGCATAAATGTCGAAATTCCCTCTAAATTCATACCTAAATGTAAATTAATCATCAGCATTAATGCATGTTAAATTAAACTCCATATATGTACATGATGAAACTAGAGCAGAATTATTGCGACTGCTGGCTCAGGCCAGGAGGCTGCAGCTTCTGGAACTGTTGAATTGTATTGCGTTATCCTGAGAAGTGTTCTTATTTCTTTGTCCAGCCCATTTATATCAGTGAAGGAAGGCTATATAACAGGAACACCGCTTGTATAATGCAGCACAGTACAAATGGCAGCCTCCAGGATAATCAAGGAGCAAAACTTCTCTACAGCTGTTTCAGCAAAAACCGCACATTACAATTCTCATGATTACAGTGTATTAAAATGCAGCTGCTTCAGCCACCAGGTGTACCTAATAAACTGACAATGGAATAGGCAAGATTTGACAATAATCAATAAATCAATCTGCAGGTTAACTGGTATAATGAAAGTACTGGTTAGCTGCAGCATCTTTCCTTCTGAATGTAAACACGTCCGAGCATCTGACACTGAGAAGGACTCGTGCATGTGTGAGAGTGAGGGGAGAGCTGCTTTTCTGAGCGATAAGTGCGAAGGAGGCTGCTTGTTCCAAGATTCAGTCAAGATTCAGACACATCTCCCCGGCTCATCCCTGCCACCAAAATATACTGTGCATCTTAAAACAGCACAAATGTGTATGAGAGAGAAAAGTGGTTTTTAGTTTGTGAAATGTGTGGCTCCAAAATTAGTCTGTCTCAGTCATCATCTGGACCGCAGGATCCCAGCATGGGACTAAACAAGAAAATCCACTGTAGTCCTAAAGCACCTATAAAAGTCTCTAAACTGTGTTTTTTAATTATAGGCCGCAGGAGAAAATTCTGCCAATAATTAAAATCCTCCCCCCTGCTCCTCTTTGACTGTTTAAACATGGCTTAAATGTACCTGATAACATTTTACTCGGCATTGCTTTGCCCTCATTTCTCTGTTGCCGTTTCGCAGAAGCCAGAGATCGAGAAGGAGGATGGAATATTTGAATAAAGCGTAGGAATCGGATGATGAAGAGAGAGGAGATGAAAGGTCGGGCTGGTGGGAGAGTGAGGCGTCACTTACTCAGCTCACAGGATCGCTTTTCTCAGTTAAGCTTTGTCAGAAATAACTCATAGCAGCCTCACCAGATTTTGTTATTATTTTTTTTGTCATTGCTCTTTTCTTTCTTTCCACCATCTGATTGAAATTTTTTAAAATCTCACCTCTCTGTACTTGAGAAAAGAAAGAAAACTGAGCATCTGATGCTGAATTTTTTTTTTCCAAAAGTTGAATTACACTGAAAAAACTAGAACTCAAGTCCACATTGCATGTGTACAGAGCACTACCTGGTATTTATAGCATGGCTGTAGGTGTCGAGTGAGAGGAGTGTGGCCTTATATGTGCTTCTCTTGTTTATACCAAGACAGTTTCCTCAGATAAGGAGCAGATTACAGAATGTGTCAGATTAGATAGACACTCATTTGAGTCCTAATCTGCCTCTTCCTCTTAACTGAACCTCTCCAGCTAGGAAATGTAGACGCTGTATCTCTGCAGGGAAGTGTGTGTCTGCGTGTGAGAGAGGGAAAGCCAGGAGTGAGTGTGTCCATCTCCCAGTATAACTTTTCAACACATCCAAATATGGTGAAACAAGCAGTTGCTTCAGGGATTTTGAGCAGGGATGAGTTTAAAGACAACATGTTGGCAGGCTGACATCAAACAGCATAGCTCCAGTTTTTCAAACATAGCTGAGTCAGAGAAGACTGTAGGGCAAAATCACCCTTCACATACACTGACTCAGAGCCTCTGTGCCACTCAGACACAACATTTATTGAGGAATGCATAGTGTTGTCTTTAGTGTGTGTCTACACATACTGTATCTCATCATACCTATTTTATGAGACAGTAGAGCGGGTACAGTAGGGGGCTCAGTGTTGAGGGGGCAGAGGAGTGCCTGTCCATATGTTGGAGTGGATCTCACTAGAGTCTGAATGAACAGAAGCGTGAGAGATGGACGTGCAGGGGGAGGGAGGGTGAGGAGCCGGCTCCTGGTGGTGCAGAACCTGGGCCAGCAGAGTTGACTTTCCATCTTCCTCCTTTCCATCCACCTTCTCTTTATCTCCACCTCCTGCATCCAGAGGAGGTGGCAGCGATGGTTTGCTGATGTGTCTGTTTGTGGGAGGCAGTGAAGGAGAAAAAGGAGGGCCCCAGCTCTGGTTTGAGAGGGGGAGTCTGTGGGCTGGCGCGGCCCAGGATCCCTGCTCTCCATCCTTACACCCCCACTGCTCCTGACAGCTGAAGCTGGGTTGCTCCTGCAAATCCTCCCACCCAGTTCCTCCCTTCAAATCCTCAAGGTCATCAGGTGTCTTTTGTCTGAGCACTTCACGGTCCCGATTCTCGTACAGCAGTGTAGCAGCACAGATAAAGATGAACAGGCCCACTCCCATGACCACGGGCCCGGCCAGTTTCATCCTCTCAACATGGGTGCTGCCACGGCCGCCCACAGGCTTGGGTGCTGCGGATACGTAGCCTGCCACGGCTACACTCATCCCCACCAAAACCACTGCTACGCCCAACAGGAGCCACACACCTGGAGCCGAGCGCAGGTGCAGTTTGGTCTGGAGGGCTCTGCCTTTCCACAGCTGTCTGTGGCATCCTGGGAGGCAAAAAGCTGAGGACTGGTTAGAGTGGGATGAGGTGGGGCTGCAGACTGGACTGGCTGCCGTCATCCTGTGGCTTCAGACTGCACAGAGAAAAGAAAACGAAAAGGACTAAGAGCAGAAATAAACGAATTGAACAAGAAAGTGTTGCATGCTGCACCAGTGGGAGAGCACTGGAGCTGCTGGAGAGAGGACAGTGTATGTTACTCTGCATTGCACACAACAGGAAATAGCAGCTTTAATAAGACCTGTGGCGAGTTAATGAGATGCCAACCATTCTGCAGCTCCTCCAGTATCACACGGACTCGCTTCTCAAGCCAACTGTTACTGAAGCACTACTTCACCGTCACCAGATTAAAGATGACTGACCCCTTGCAGGACCTTGTGAATTCACTTCACGATCTCACTGCAGTCATGAAAATGGAGTCACACACGGTACCTGCCCCAACTGAACTCATAATGTAATTTCCACCGAAGTATGAGGTGATTCAACAGGACGCATGCAAAGATGATAAATTGCCCATTGAGTCCGATTTTGTAAGTGCCTTCACTCTTTCATCCTTAGTATTGTATTCTAATTCATGCTCGACTGACTGCAGTTCACAGTCTGGTTATTTTAACGCCATACATCAGAGTGGACACTTGCCTTGCTTTGGACGTAAATCCGAGATAGAAACTGGCTCCTCGGCATTATCAGATTCAAAAAAGAGTTGCTTCATCCCTCCTACTCCTCTGCGTTATCCCCCTCATCACTTTGATTCGCGGTTAAATCCACACTTTCACCCAATTCATCAGATTATGAGACGTTTCCCGTCCTTGGCTGTACAGCGCAACAGCGGGTGCTGCTGAGCCTGAAACGAAGCTCTGATAGTAAATAGCAGTGAAAGTGGTGCAAAGCTGCTCTGCCGCCCTGTGTCCTCGCTGCTTGTGCGCCCGGAGTCCGTGTTTTGATTAGTGTGTTTGTAGAGGAGGGGTCGTGGGAATCTGGCTGGTCCAGGCCAGTCCCACGGTGAGTTCAGTTATTCTTAGTCACCAGCGACCAAGTGGGTTTTTTTAAAAACCAGATATCATCTTAACAATTCATCGTGTACACTTCACGTGTTTGCTGACTCTTCAAATAGCCTACATGCAGTTTGATCTTTTGATGATTATTTTTCCTGTTGCTCCAAAAAGCTCGTCTATTAGCAGATGTTTAAAGCGGAAATCTTAATTTCATACATCACCGTTTGGTTGTAGGTTTTGGGGAGTGGATTTCTGCACATATGTGAAAAAAAGTTGTAGAAACCATTTGTGACTCTGGAGGCTCAGGTAGCATAATGGCACGAGTCAGCTGCATTCGTTGGGTCTGAAGCACAGATGTATTAAAAAGTCAGCCTCGCTGCCGGTTTCCCCCGGTGGCCACAGGGGCGGATCCACAGCTGTTCCGATGGGGGGGACGGGGCACACTCTAAAAGAAGGGAGGCACATTTGGAGAATGAATAAAAAGGTGTTATATACTGATAATGAAAGAATTTGTTCACTGTAAGAAATGCCAAGTAAACAGTTTTATAGATAAATCTAAATTACCTTAAGTGCATCCAAATGTCCCTCAGTCCTGTCCAAGCTGCGAGGATAGAGGAATGGAAGAAACCTGTTTTAGAGACATGGGCCTTGTTTTCCTAGAGTGTCCAGTCACCAACTGATTACTGATAAAGGGGTTTGGCAGTCCATAAAAGACTTCCGCCAGGGATGGTCTGATGCTGCGTCTCTCTTGGTTCCTCCAGGCAGCCTCCAGCTCCTCAGAGCAGGAACAAGAGGGACGTCCTTCAAGATGGCGGTTTTATATTTGTAACACCTGAGTTATATGTTTGTGATCATGGAAATGCATTTTTTTAAACGTCCATGAGACCAACAGTGTAATCACTTTGAGGGTAAATCCGTGACATACTCTTTTCAGTCTTGAAATCCATTGTACATCAAAGTTGTGTAATTTTTTTTATTCTTTTTTAAACCTCTGTCACTCCCAGCCCACTTATGGTGGTCATGCTTTAGTTTCTGTCATGACATGTTTCATGTGGGCCAGACGTGGGCCAACAGCCATATCTGATGTTAAACAGTTTGGGCTTATAAGCAGCTGTGGGGCTTTGGTGGTGAATTTGTCTCCAGCTCATAGGCCAGTGTGGCCCACACTGCATACTGGTTTGTGGGTGAGCTTTGCCTAGTTACATATGGGTCATAGTGAGTCATGTCCTCATTGCAAAATACTAACAGCTTTCATTTTACACTAGATGTGGGTCACAACATTTGAATACTGCCATTTTAAAATTTGGAGCTTTGCTGCTATATGCTAAGCTGTTCTGATATTACAGTGATTATTATTGAGCCAATGTTAACTTCCCATCTGGAGGTGAAAATCTGAGTTTATTGTAAAGATTTAAGGCTGAAATAGAATCTTTTGTTTGTTGAAATAGTTTTAGGTAATTGCAATGGCTTAAATCCAGGTACTGCTACACTCTAGAGATGTGCCTTTAGCAAGAGACTGAAGTCAGAAATAATGAGTAAGAACATTACAGTTGAACCAGTGTTGCTGGTTGAGTTGGAGCTACTTTGAATACGATTTAATCCGGTGGTACCCCAGCTACATTATGACCCGCTCTTTTAACGGTGCACTAACTTATGTGTTCTTGTAGGTAAAACTTGAAAAGCAGCTGGTGACTACAGCTGGCAAATAAATTTAGTGAACAGTTCAATTTTCCCCTTTGAATTGTAAATTAGAAGTATAAAGTTGCATAAAATGGAAATACTCAAGTGCCTTTTTAAGAAGTAGTGAGTGCAGTATAAAGTGTACTTTCTGCTACTAAATGTAATCCAACACAAACAAGATGTCCCATAATTGCATGCATCTTTGTAACAAGTGAAGAGGCCACTCCATTTGTGTCTCAAGTCCGTGAAATGGTTTAAACCTCCAGAAAAAGCTAGTAGATAGACCGGGAGTTATAATTGTTTTTTGTCAAACATATTCGGTACTCCAGTTAATTCGTTTCCCACCACTCTAAATACAAACATGTAGAGATAAAGACCAGAGTTTCAGTTCATCTCTGTGTGTGGTGAAATGACTGAGGTTAGCTGAGGACAGCAGGCAGTGTGCATCTCGTTTATTTTCACCCATTCACATATTCCATCAAACAGCCACCTCAGAGCCAAAACATCGTACCGCTACCCCTTAAATTAGAATACACAAATAAAAGCTGTTTGCATATAAACAGTTGCTGATGTACACATTCCAGCTTGCTGAAGTACACACTGACTTACAAAGACGGTGACAATGTTTGGTTTTTCTCAAAAATCTATGTATGAATTGAGGTTCACTGTTTCAGTTCACTGTCACACCGTCCTTCCCTATAGACAGATGTCAAGCCTTTGCATGACCAAGCAGGAGCGAACTCTGACAGGGAACAAGGACAGTCCTTTTGTAGTTGTCTATACTATTTACAATGTAAATGACAAGATGTTATTTGAACCAAACAAGGTGATCAGCATCAGCAAAACAACTCAAAGCTGTTTTTAACATTCATATGTGGTCCCCCACCCCCCAAAAGAAAAAAAAAACCCAGAGACAAACAGAGCTGGTTCATTTCTTGTCCCACGTCAAAGGATTGCAAGTTTCCTTAATTTAACAATTAGCCCTAAGCCCTGTATATCACAAAACAGTCCTCTGACCAGAAAAGCAACACACCACACAGGCTAGTGGGAAATTACATCCTCATTTCTCAAACACACTTAGTCACATCTACACACACACACACCCACAGAGTTTTAGCCATCCCCCATTCAGTCCAAGCTTCAGCCAACTCCAAATTAACCCAGCTCTCTTGCCTTTGGGCCTGTCGAGCAGCTCACGTTCTCCATCTTGAGGAAGAAGGCCGAACTACATAGTGCTTCTGTTCCACTGGGTTTCAGATTTAAAAACCTTTCCCCACCTCATGACTGTATTTTTGCAGCTTTTAAAAGTCCATTGCCATGTAAAAAGCAACAAACACACTTGTTCCACGTGCTCTGAGCTTCAGCACCATTTCTTTACAGCTTAAATAAAACAGGAAATGCAACAGACACTAACTCCACTTCATAAACTGTACAATGTTAAGAAGCCTTGAAGGTGCCTGTAGTTTAGTTTTTTCTTAGTTTGTTTTGTAATGATTGAGTAAACAAACACAATAAGTTAAGGATTCCTCATGGTATCAGTGGAAAACTCTCCCTCAGGTTGACCAGTTCTGTCCAACATGGAGAGAGGAGGGGGCATTTTCAGAGATGATGGCTTCCACGTGTTTCTCTCGTGAGACTGAACCGTCACAGGGCTCAACATATGAAACTCGTTCAGACTGATTTTGTTAAATGTCTGTAGCTGAGCATTGATGACGCCAGAGCTGAGGGACATGTAAAGAGCAAGCGATTCCTCATGGAGTCACCTCTTACTCTTCATCTGCGTTCTTCAGCATGAGGATGGAGTTGTAGATCTTTAGGGCGGGTCCTAACTTGATTGATAGGATCTTGACGATGTCTGCTTGGGTGAGCAGCAGGAAGGCTTCGCCGTCTATTTGCTAAAGAGAAGGAAAAATTGTTCAGCTGCATGTCAATACTTTTTTTTCAGACAAATACACAAAACCAGATCAGCACTATCATTGATTTGGAGTCCTTTTTCTGGCCACCTGGCGAATGCAAGATGCACGTCCAATTACGGGTGGGAATCTTTAGCAAACTCGCGATTCAATTTGATTCTGAATCTTGGCGCCACGATTCCATTCAGAATGATTTTCAATTCAAAAACAACGACAACAACAAGGGCACTATATTTTGGCTCTTCCTCTAGCTACGCTCTCCGTGTGCTACACTGGCTTCAGAGTTGAGTTCCATCAACATTATTACAAAAATCAATTTAGAATCGTAGAAGATATGAATCACAATTCTTATATGAATCGATTTTCTTCTCCCACCCCTACAATAATCACTCTCTTGTAGCTTTTTTTTCCTAACGTCTCCTGAGGGAAATCTCTGGCTCTTTAACTGTTGAGTGCTCCACCATTTTCAGCAGCTAGTCACTAATGCTGGATGTCCGCTTTTAATAAAACATAGCTTAAAGAAATCCTGGGCAAAAGACACTGCAAATACAAAACTTGCATGTTGTTGCTGTGCACACTGATGGACAAAAAATAAGCACAAAATAAGAACCTCAACATCTACTGTTACAAGAACCTTTACCCCCCCCTTGTGCTTGTTAATCCAAACGAGGCTGATGTATCAGAAAGCTAGAACCTTTACCCCCCCCTTGTGCTTGTGTTTGTTAATCCAAACGAGGCTGATGCATCAGAAAGCTTAGGCCCTTGTCATTTTCACATTCGAGCACAAATCTTAACGTCTGTATGGGTAACCATTCCTGAAACTATTCGAAAACATTATCTTGAGTTCTGGGAAAAAATTAATGCTACAGTCAGCGATTATAATTCATTACACATTTTGTCCTATTCAAACCCAGGTGGTCATGTACTGCCCTTGATCTGTAATAGGTTCGTAAGAGATCAGAGTCAGACTGGTGTATTTCTGCCAATCAGCACAAGGAGCACTCTTGCTCGTGCATAGCATGGAGGGTGTTAAGTGGGTACATCAAAGTTTGGAAAATTCACAGCATCACTGCCCAGCCTAAAGGTACAGACAGCTGAAAAAAATGCTGCTTCCAGTTACAGCCTACACATCTTAACCAAAAAAACAGACTGGGATTTTGAAGTTGCTGTGTTCCACTGAAAATCATTAAGGTCATTATGTTACATTAGCAAATTGCATTACCCGGGTCACATTAGCCTGTTTGCTAAATCAACTTTCCAAGGGACATTCAGTGAAATTGGTAGTTTGTAAATGTATGCGGTTGTTCAGAATTTAACTATAGCAGCTAGAAACAGTTGTGAGAGAGTAACAGTGCAGTCTGTAGTATTCTGACATGTCTCCTTTGGCATTGGCTCTTCTCACAGCTAGTATCGCTGCCATAGTAGTGCTCGTTAACTAAATTTGAGGACTGTGGTTACAAAACCCTAACTGAAAGTAGTTGTGGATTTGTGTAGATGCTGGTCAAAATGCAAACATTATTGGCCAGAATCGCTGCCTCTAACTTTAATGAAAATAATAAATAGATGAGGACCTCATCTTAAGACTTGGAGAGTTAATCAAGTGGCTGACATACCTCTGTTTTAAATGTAGCAGCGTGTTCTTTACATCCAGGGAGTCCTTTAACAAAACCGGCCACCTGATGAACAAACACAAACAACATACAGCAAACAGCCACAGGCCGCCAGCTAAACACAGGATGTTTTCATCTATAAATGTTTATCTATTAATCAAAGCTCCTTGTATGCCTTTATTCAACCTCAGCCGTTAACCTGAAGAAAAAGAGCAGCAGAGCTCTCCTTGACAATGCATGGACACCAGTCATTTCCCTGAACAACTAGATGCCTTCAGGTTTGGTAAGTGAATGAGGAGCATGTCTTCTTTTCCATGTGTTGACACAGCGTGAGTGTGTAAGCACGTCTGACCTCCTCAGCGTTCCAAGTGGCCACTCTCTTGGCAGTCAGCCCCAGGACCTCAGGCAGCAGCTGGCAGTGTTTGTCCCAGCAGAGAGCCACCCGGTGCGGGGGGGAGGCAGAGATGCCGGGGGAGAACACAGACTCATGGAGGGCTTGCTGCAGAGAGATGGCATCTGGAGAGGCTGAGAAGAAAGCAGAGAGGAAATAATGTTTAGAAGGAGGTTAGGTTATTTCGTACATGCTTTATCTCATCCTGTTTTACACACACCTTTACTGTCGCCAATCTCTTCTTTAACATAATGCATCTTCAGGTATTTAGGGACTGGGGCAACCCTGAAGAAAACAACAAAATGGGAGTCAGAAATTAATACAAGACATCCTCTGTCACACACTTTGACTGTTTCATGACTAGTACCGTTTAGGCCTTGTTCCATTGTGGCTCTGCTCAATGGCTCCACCTGATGGCTCGGGCTGGTTGATGCGCACTAAACGCTCAGCCTCCACTGCTGCCGGTTTCCTAGCAACAAAGATAACCTGTTCTCAGGTACAAACCACTGGACATAGTTGCATGCAAAACATCACTAAGAGTCCTGCTGGGAGTGTTAGTGGCTTTCCAACTGTGTTCATACCGTTTCTGCAGAGGCACAGCCTCTGTACAGCCTTGTACGTGTTCAGCAGCAAACCTGTTCTGGGAGTCCTCTGCTCCTTCAGGTTGCTCTGGTGTTGCAGAAATCTGTGACGTAGTGTTTGTGTGAGGATCGGGGCGTCGCCCACGAGGATGAGGTCCGCAGAGGGTGAGAGGTCGTTCTCCACTGAGGCGGTCTGGCAGCAAGCCCTCCTTGTTCAGATTCATCTCAGAGTAGGGGCAGCTCACCTGTCTGCACACACAAGACACACAAACTTTACCCAGGCCTTAAATTAAAAAAGTGTTAGCCTTGTAACCGTGAATGAGACAATTAAACAGGTTACAACAAATAGGGAGGAAAAGCAGCTAAAAATCACCTTAAAGATTCATAACTCCCACAGGCGAGCAACACATTTACACTGCCGTCAGCCCACACAAGTACAAGAGACATTTAAGAACACAACACTCTCTCTTCTCCTCCTTTAATTATTATATATGCTCCTCCATATATCTATAAAATATGAGCACATGAAACTTTATTGATCTGAAAATAATTCTTATTCTCCCTGTTAGACCAACAGTGATAGCGATACAGCAAAAATGAAACAGACATTGAATTAAAAATAGAGAAAAATAGGATTTAATAGACACCCCCCTCCAAATTAAGCATTTCAATTAGAATTTATTTGTGAAATTTATTTGAAAAATAGGGCTGTAGCATTAAGAGTGTGCAAACTAACAGTAGTTATATTTATTGAGACAAATAAATGCAGAATATGCTGAATGTGAAAATTAAGGAATATAAAATACATTCACTGAGAAAAATGTGGTGTGGAAAATATATATGCCTTGTGAAATATAAATGGAGAAATAATATGAAAGAAAGCAAGAACAAAAGAGCACAAAAACTGAGCATGTGGTACTAACGTGTAGTGGGTCCCATAGCGAGGTCCCCTGATGTGGCCGACCCCGTTGCATCCTACTGTAGGACATCCTTGTCCTGGGGCAGTCAATACGTCACTGGAGCCTGAAATATGCACACACTTGTTAATAAAACTAGGCAAACAACTCCAAGACCATTTCCATTCTGAATTCATTACAGATTCTTCCCACCACATTCCGAGGCTTAAACAAAGCCAGAGACAATCTCTACTCCCTCTACTAAGAAAACTGGACTGAGCTCAGTGAATATCAGGCAAGGCAGGCAGGTTTGTGTCTCACCGTTAGGGTACTGTAGCGGGTGTCCAGTTTTCTGACACCAGCCTACAGGATGCAGATCAGGGCAGTCTGTCTCCACCCAGTAATCATACTCTGAACTCCAGCCATCAAAATGGATCTGGATCAGAAAATGGAAAAGCATCCATTTAGAGACAAGCTGAGGCAAGAGCCAGGCAAACAACATGTTGCCGAGGAGACATGTTGTACCTTTAGCCGATGGTCCTCTGTGTCCACTATAGTTGCAACACGGATGAGCATGGGGTTCCTCTTATCAACAGCTTCCACCTTCATCCCAATCTGGAAGCCATGTGGAGGTCGCTGCACACACAGAGCATAGTAAAAATAAATAAATAAAACACATGGCTGTGTGTACAGTATTATAAATCTTTGTGTACTTGTATATTTGTATGTGTGACTTGTACCGGTTTGAACGCTCGAGCTGGTGCAGCCTGTGTGCCTGTCTCTTCCAGGTATTTTTCCCAAGAGAAACTCTTGGGATGTTTATACTCTAAGGAGAAGAAATGCAGGTTCATTAGATCCAAGGGTCACTGAAGACAGTCCACATACTGGCACAAACACATGTACAGTGACTCCAGTGTCCTATGGTTCAAAAACTACTGAGAATCTGAGAAACATGACAGTAACATGCATTTTACCTTTAATTTACTTATAAAATTAACTTTTTTTTTTTTTACTTATAATTGAGAAATATCTGAAATGTATAGAAGACTTTCTACAAAAAAGCATCTATGCAAATGTAAAAATGATAAATCAGCTTCATTAGCAGAATCTAAATCTTAAAGAGCATACATCTCTAATAATGTTAGCGTCTACATTAGTTGGACCCTACAGTATATGAAATTAGCTTATACTGACCCACAGGTGTCTTGGTCTGTGTCTTACCAGCTGGGGTGGTCAAAGTTAGCTTAGCCTCTTCACAGTAGCCAACAGGATGGATGTATGGGCTGCTAGCATCACACCTTAACACAAAGCAATGCACATACGGACATCTTCAACACCCGCCTCACCATCAGCTTTGCTGATGACACCTCCCACCCCGCACACTCCCACTTCAGACTCCTGCCTTCAGGGAGAAGGTATCTGAGTCTTCAGGCCCACTCCACCAGACTTGCAAACAGCTTGTAAATCTGCTGCCGACTGTTTTTACTGTCATATCTGCTGCTGTTGGTCTACAAACCTCCATGCACGATCTAACCTGAAATTATCAGCCTCAACCAAGGTAAAGTTGTTTACAAAGTGTATCCGAATCAGTCCAAATTCTACCATTAGACCCAGTATGACTTTTTCTACTATTATTGTTTGCACTACTGTCACTGACTGTACATGGTTTTGAGTCGCAGCTTAATGGCTGTACCGTTTAGATTTATCCTAATTATGTCAATCCAGTTCTTATTTTATTCTATTTTTATTCTACCTTATTCTATTTTAGTTCCTAAATGTTATGGCACCCAATACTAGGTGAGAGAGAAACGGTATTTCGATTTCTGTATGTCCTGCACATATGGTGAATTGACAATAAAATCCTTGAACCTTGAACATAAAAATTCAGATACAAACACATTCAGTTTACATTTCTTACTTTTTCCATCAAGTTTGTGGATATGTCTTAGTTTTCCAGACTTGCTGTCAAACCTTGTCAAGACCATCTCAAGTTAATTTTTAATACTGTATCTTTTTGCAGTCCATAGGCACCACGTATAGGCCTGTCATGTTTTGTTACAAAGAAGCACAGTGAATACAGCAGCCCTCCAGGTGGACTGGGTAATCTCTCTGTCAAAGCAGGAACACCAGTGGGGCTCTCACCAGTAGTCATATGTGTCATCCCAGTTGTCAAAATGAATGAGCAGGCGGTTGTCAACGACAGCAGCAATGGTTGCTACACAGATTAAAGATGGATTCTTCCTGTCGACAGCCTCTAGCTTCATCCCTGCTCTAAATCCAGATGGAGTCACAGACTAAAATCAAAAAAGATAAACATGTGCATTTAGCATACAGAGTTCAATCTGATGTCTCTGGGATACAGAGAATGCACTAACTAAATACTCACTGTGTTGAGGCTTTTGAAAAGATGTTTTGGGGCCAGCTGACCCCTGCAGTTCTTCACATACATGCCCCAATTAAACTCTCCATCCTTACACCCTGCAAGACAAACGTAAATCTTTACTTGCATGTTTCACCTCAAATATTAGGGTTATCTGTAAGCTCGTGAATATGGGCCTGTGTGACAACCTTTAGGCAACAATAACTTGTGTCCATTCTTCTCACACCAGCCAGCAGGTTTCAGATCCCACGAGTCAGCATTAGCCCAGAAGTCGTAGCATTCTGGGTAACCATCAAAGTGAAGCCTTACCCTGTAGCCTTGGATCTGAGAGGCAAATGGACAGTGGGCATATATTCAGAACAAATGAAAAGACAGTGAAATTCTTAATTATAAACAGGGGCAAACTGAAACTGCTGTAAAAAGCCATAAACAACCAGTACCTCTGCAGCAGTGAGCACACAGAACAGAGATGGGTGAGATGGGTCCAGTCCCTCCAGTTTCATCCCCACCTTAAAACTGTTCCTGCTTTGGGGAAATGACTGGTGCTGCAAAACAAATGTACACCACATTTCTTTTCAAGTGATGTCCCATAAACAAAACCATCTGGTCATACTAAAAAATACTGACATGGCAGTTGTATAATATGAAGAATTATACCTCTTTGAATAGCTTTACAGGAGCAGCAATGGCCTTCTCCTCTTCCAGGTAAGCAGACCAGCTCCATGCCCGCTTCTTATTGGGTGGGGCAGTCACTGGGGGTGGGTCAGTAAAGAAAACAAACTATTATGATTACAATATATACCTCTTTTCACCCAACCCAATTTATATCAACTTTCATTTATTGCTGTCTTCTGTCCCACTTAGCAAACACAAATGTCACATACCAAAAGACTCATTTTCATCTATGCAAAAACACCTGACAGCAGTCTTCGATACTGGTTTAACTCACCAGAGGAGGAGTGCAAGAACAAACAACAACACTGAATTGAAGGCCCAATCCCATGACTTATGTTTTACCCCGACCCCTCATTTTTGAGTGCTCTCTTGTTTTCACGTTAACCCTCAAACCGAAATTACAAGGAGCAGTGGTTGAAATCTTCCCCTGTTAAATGGGACAACCCTTCAGGACCTCTGTGCGTCGTCTGTATTAAATGATGACGGTTAAGTAAATAGATGTGACGAGTTGTGGGAGATTTTGAATCACGCAATAGTGTCTTCAAATATCGATTTGTGATTTTCAACAGCAAATAAGAAACATGTAAGGATAAGAATATGTTTTTGACACCGGAGAATGTTGGTGGATTTGTTTGAGGGGTGTAGCATCGACTGCAGATAACTTTTGTTGTAGTTTGCCTCATACCACCAGGTTTTGTGTCTGCCTCTGAAAACCCTCTGTTTAAACCACTTCACTCTACCCCTCAATCCAAAGGAGAATCAGGACACCCCTACCACTATACGTGAATGTACAAAACTGAGGGGTAGGGCTAAGCGGTAGGGGCAAGGGGTGAATAACAAACATTTAGAGACAGTGAGACAAGAAAATACATCTTCCTCTGCCTTACAGAGGAAGTAGTCTAACATACCCAGTTTGACAATTTTGGCCCCTCTCTTGCCTTTTGTAGTTTTGGCCTTTTCCTACAAAAGGTGAAAAAACAAACAAAAAAGGTTATTACAGTTTTTCCTTCACTGTTCTGGTGCCTTTTCCTGATGTAAAGAAGGGAAGTACACATCAATGATAAGACTAGAAAAAAATTCAGTAGAAGATATTCTGTTTGCAAAACTTTAGTAATTACAATTAGGCTTTACAAAACACCCAAGTTGCCTGTAGTTTTATGCTCCTCACCTCTGGTTCCTCTTGGTTTTCTTCCTCTTCTTCACCAGAATCCATGTAGATCTTCCTCTTTTTGCGCACACGTTTACCCAGCCTCTCACCTTCAACTGCCTGACTCTCTCTTGCTTCCCCTGGAGACGACCTGTAGGAAAGACAGATGTGGCTCCTGATGAAACAACACACACCAAAATTATCTGAAAGACGACAAAGAGGTGTTACAGAATACCAGAGGTGTGATTTTACCTGCCACTGGAGGGCTGAGCACAAATGGAGCTACAGAATTTACCCTGAAAGAGGGCATCTTGGGAAACACTGCCACCACAGGTCCGGCACCTTGACAGTTCCCCATTTGAACCCATGTCGGCACTAGGGCCAACTTCAATACTGGGACCAACCTCCACACTGGGGCTGTCCTCTAAAGACAGAAGAACAGCACCAGGAGCTAGAGGACAGACAAGAGGAAAAAGGGGCTGAAACTGAGGTGGTTCATTGTGAGAAACACAGACAAAGCATAAAAAGTAAACACTACAATTCTTTATAATGACAAAGCTGTAAAGGTTAAACTTGTGCTGTCATACCTTTACCTTTAGATGATCCTGGCTGACTCTGATTGGCTGGAGCTGCAGCTGTGCCAGTCTGTGATTGGCCCTCTGGTGGAGGGGTGGGAGTGTGAGAAGGAGCTGGGTCCAAGGACTCACGGTTAGGCTCTGCCTCCTGCCCTTTGACCTCTAGGTCTGAGACAAGCTCAAGAGTCCCAAACTCTGTCATACGAAACTGGGGGAAAAAATGGAACAAACAAACAAACAAATATGCTCATCAGGGTTTGTCCCAGGAAAATGATGAGGGAAGGTTATACACAACCCAGATCAAATGTATTTTTTAGAAAGTTAGAGCAGAGGCTGTTTTAATATCAGTCAACGTTGCACCTCCACTAAAGACACAACTGTAAACCCTGGTAATATGAATTAGAAACACATAACATCATTTACACAACCACAGATAATTAAATCTCACTATTACCGTGATGTTACTCCCTGGGAGCGTACCGATACCATCCTTCCAGTCTAGAGCACTTATCATATCAAACTCAGCTCCCTGGGAGGGGCCATCACTGGGTGGAGTGTCAGTCATTCCCACTCCTCTGATATCCCCAACCTGCAGCACACAGCGCTCACATCAAAAACTCATATGCTGACCACTGACACAAAACGTACAAAAGGTTGAATAAAAAGGTTCAGTACACATCTCTAACTTAATGCCCATTGCCCTTGGCCTGTTGTACTGTCTGTGTGCGATTATGACAGCGAGTCCCCCGTATGGTTTTACCTACACACTGATCCATACAAATGCAGTTTATATCTGCACTTGTAAACAGCGTTACGCAACATCACCGCTGGGTGGCGACTGTGTACTGGCTTGAAGGATACACCATGCACTTCGATTTCAGACAAAACAGTCAATAATAATAATGTTTTGCTGGCCAACCAACCGGAAAATACGTGCACAAACGGCCTCATGAGGGTGAACCTTCATCAAGATCATTGACAAACATTAGGAAAGATGTGTCAACTTTAAGTTAACCGGACAAGTTCATCTTTTCCTTGTTTTAACGGTATCTCTTAAAACCGGCTGTTTGCCTGGTTATGAACAAGTGAGAGGGTCATTTGTTTATCAATTTTGGGAAAAACACTGTTTTCTGCACTGACTGGTCAAACTTAAAAACGTTTCGATCCGACTAATATTACGATATAACGTTTTAGTCTTGACGCATGTTCAACACTGAATTAAGGTAATATTTTCTGTTTGCACGATGGTCATAACCATGTGAAAAGTAAACAACAGCCCGAGGTAATGGACCTTGGTTAAGTTTGACTTTGCTCCGAATACCCCAGTTTTATTCTAGCCATAAATAAAGTGTATGTAAGAGCGCCCATGATTAGCATTCGTCTTATACAAAATGGCGGAGCATGGGAAGAGGCCACCAACACGTTTAAACTATGTAAATTACTCAAGTTACCCATTTAAACAAATCATGCAAAGCCGGTACGCGTCGAACAACAGCAAGTGCTTGTTGTGTAATTTCCTGACTTAGTGTTTTCCTTCACCCTGGGTATTTTCTTCACTTTCCCCTTGTCACGGAATGTCAGCCCAGTTTGCTAGCTAGCGCTGACATGAAGCTAACAGTCAGCTAGCTCCCACTCCGTTCAACTGAACAGAGGATTGCTAGACGGCTAGCCGTAGCATTGTGACTGGATGCAGCCAGCTAAGGACAATCTGTAATAAATAAGTTTCCCGGTTAATAACAATAGGAAAACGCATTTTGCAAAATGCCAATATTTCGCAAAATATCAGACATAGTCGCAATAACACCGCGCTACTGTTAGGAGCTTCAACATTGTTGCTTGATTTATTTCTTCAATAGAAACTTGAAAAAACGATTTATTCTCTCCGTTTTAAATCAGAGTGGAAATAATGGGAACTAGCGCTAAATAGCAAGACGACGGCTGGTTTTTCAAATTTTGCCACTGTTAACTTCGGAAAATGAGTATTAACGCCTGTATTGTTTAAAAATTGTGGAACTCACCTCGTTTCTCTTTTAACTCTTATTTAGAGCTGGACAGAAGGATGCGCATGCGTGCAAGATGCGCTTGCCTGACAACTTTGGGTCTAGGAAAAGTTCAGTTTACTATCGGTGGTCAATACCAGGCCTGTGAGCACTTAAAACACGCCCAGCACACAGTTCAGTACCGATATAACAAATATTACCGCTGCACGGCGGCTCACGTTCCACCCTATGTCCATAAGAGCATTAAAAGTGTTTCCCTGAAGAAATACGAGTGGGTGTCAGTGGAGCGCAAGGACCGCAGTGTCTTCCATTAACGTCCAGGAGCGGCTGCTTCTCCGGTGATCAAACGGGCAGTTTTCTCCCCAGTTTGTACAATGTACAGTCATTTATCGGCTAATTTAGGAGGACAACATCTGAGCACAGGCGATAATCAGGTTGTACACGTCTCTGCTCGGTGTTGGACTAAATACGCAGGCCTGTAAAATCACCCCAAGTGACAATGTGAATATATTCTTACACAAGTCAGACTTTGGCTCTTAAAATACATCTCCAATTTAGTTGGCTAATGAATAAAAGCACCTTAGGGTTTAAGTTGAGTCGTACAGGGTGAGTTGTGACATGTCAAACATAACGTATGATGTGCTAAAATATGATTGTACTTTGTTTAGGATGAAATCCATCAACAGAAATGTGTCCCTTTTTGTGGTATCACCTCTAGGCTACTAGATGCACGGCGGTTTATGGTTTAATCGTGAAAGCGAATCCGTTTAGTCAACCATGGAGGTTAGTCATTTCATATCATATTCATATATATGGTGTATTTTGATTGATTTTAAGTATTTTTGGACCGCTGGTCAACCTGCAGCATTAGCCTATCCCTCCCACATAGGGCGGCTATGGTTTCTCCGGTAGGCTATACAGATCTCGCCTTTATCCAAATTATTCCTGAAAATAGGCCCTCCCTGGTACACACAATTGCTATAATAGCATAAGAATATAATCGGCTACTGGCTAACTGGTACGCAGACAGAAATGTCTTTATTTCAGTCAACAAAGCCCGCCCTGATATGAGGTGAAATGAGTTGTGCTTCTGCCGTAGCAGCAGCGGCGCGGGGTTGTGTCGTATGTTTTGTCGCTAGATGGCAGGACAAGTCCGGTTTCGGAGGGATTAACGAGGTCGTGCCGTCTGCTGCAGTCTGAAATATTTTGTAATATCGCATCAACACATCATGTTATGGCATTCAAAGGCAAAGTGGTCGACTCGAAGGTAAGAAAGCAACATAATGCATTATGATTTCACGTGCATGAGGCGTCTCTGTGGACTGTCCGTGTCAGTCTGTTAGTCGTTATTGACTGGTGCGATAAAATCATGTAGAGGATACACTATGTCTGACACCTTTAGACTAAATTCCTCTCTTACTGTAATATAAACTGTAAGCAGTAGGTCAGGTTTTGCAGGAGATAAAGAGTACCCACCGCACATCCCTCCCACTGTAGCCGGATAGCCTATAATAATGTGGGACTCCAGGTTAGTATTTGGTAATGTTGCGTTACCTGGAAAATATGTGGTGTTGTCAACTCAGATTAGATCCTGTATTGTGAAATAACGATTCCCTCTCTGTCTCAATCCCATAGACTGTGCTTTTCAACCTGCTGCTGTGTGTGGTCATATTTTACTCTCTTTTTTACATGATTGGGAGTGTGTGCTTCGGTGCCTTCAGGTGAGAGCCACTCACACGCATGCGCACAGCCACGTGCAAGCATGCAAATGAGCCTATAGTCCTTAAAGCATCCTCACCTTTCTCTACATAATCAACAGGGTGTGCACCTAATAACGGAGCATAATAACATGGCCCTATTTAGTGGTGGAATGAAACTAAGTACTTTACTTGTATTGCACCTAAGTAAAAATTGTAAGGAATATGTGTAATCTGAAGCTGATTGGTAGGATTTGGAGGTGATGAGTTACACCATGCATGCGGAGCAGCAGGAACGGGGTCATTTGGAGTTAATCCGGCCTTTTTGACATAATACAAATACTTAAAAGTAGTTCTGGCGTTTACAGAGGAGAGAGATGTAGTTATCACAAAATAAAGTCGCTTTCACAACTGTTTACATTGCTTCCACACCTTGTAGAGACTTGTTTTACCTGGTGCCAGGTGGACAAGCAAGAGCCAAGATTCTTTTTGCATTCTCAGTAAATTACACTAACTTCTTCTCATTCAGGTTGGATCACTTTGATGGACTGATTCCATTTGACTTTAAGACAGAACCTGCTGAATCCAACTCCAAATACTTGGGTGAGCATGCTTTATGTGGCCACCATGATCAACCGTAATGAGCTTTGTACAGCTAATGTTTTGTTTTTCACTGTATTGGTCTCCCTCAGTCAACCTCCTGTCCTTGGAGCTCACCTACTTTTGCAGCGGCCTGTTGTTTGCTGCAGTGGTGAGGAGGCGGGTTTGGGACTACGCCCTCACAGTCACACTTCTGCATGTAATGATCACCAGCCTAGGTGAGCAGAAATCTAGCAATGTATCTACCCAGGTAACACACAAAAATTACCTGATGTGTTGTGAAACTGCATGTTTTGTTTCTGTGCTGCAGTGATGTTGGAATTTCCTATGGTGTGGCAATGGTGGCTGGCTTTAGGTAAAAAAAAAGACTTGTGCCTTATCTGTAAGTTACTGCATCTACATTTGTGAGCTCATTTCTTTTTTAACACTTTCTGTTTTTGTTGTTCTGTAGGTAGTGGCTTGTTTCTGATGATCTGCAACGGTCAGCTGATCGCGTATTTCACTTGCCAGAGTGACCAGAGCTATGCCTCCTTCAGCATCTACTGACAGACAGTCTTGTGAAGTGAGGTAGAAGGGATCGCAGCAAACACTAACACCCTGTAGATTCTCCATAGTGATGTTTTTTTCTGTTTCACTAAAAGAGACTCCTCACAATCACACATAAAGTCACAGCTGAATGAATTTGTGTTTAAAGATTACCAATAGACTGGAATTGATGTAAATACAACAAGGAGATGTCCTCTGTTATTTGTTTGCAAAATGCCTCTGTCACTATGCAGGATTTTAAGGTAGCCTGTCAAGTATGTTCAGTATCTCTGTAAGCTGCTGCTGCTGTATTTTAAAGACATAGACAGTGAAGTGTTAAACAATACAACAGCAACAGATTAAGTGTTTATTGTTTCAACCTCTTGCACATTAAGGTAGCATGGATTAGTGAAACAGTGGCCAGCCTATTTCAAACAATGAACTGATAAAGATATTTAAAATAACAAAAATAAAAATATACACATATACAGTATGTAGCATTTAGTAAAGTGTAACCAATGAAGCATTGCAGTGTTAATGTCAAAATCCTTTGCTCAAGCATTTAAAAATAGACTCTGAATTAACAATTTATGACATTGAAAAATAAATATTTGAGCAAACTTGTTCTCAGATGATTTGATGTTGTTATGAAATCAGCTGTGCTGCCATGTCCTCCATTTGGTGTGTGAAGGTGAATCCTGGGAAAAGCTCACTGGTCCCGCCTGTCTGGCACCGCTCATCCACTGAGGCAGGGACAGGTTGTAGCGTGAACCCTGGGTCGATGTAGGTGATGTCACAGGGCCCAGTCTGGCGTGTTGAGAGGAATAAACATGCACTCAGGAACACTGCATTGATTAAAAACAATAGTGCTCTCTAATTGTTTTGGAATCACTCGTACCGTCTTTGGAATGAACGGGGGTGTAACTTTCCTGGCCAGAAGGTCATCCCAATTGATGAAGGCAAAGAAGGGATGTTCCTGCAGCTCTACCTGGAAACAACAAAATTAGACCCTCTCTGGTTTTGTGTGTTTAAGTATGCTGTTTACCTCTCTTGTGGGTGCACACTTACAAGGTCATGGCTCCCCCCTAAGCGTTTGGAGACATCCCTTTCTAGCAAGCTCTGTAACAGTGAGCACGCAGCCTGTGAGACACCACCACGCAGCAGCAGCAGAGGAGCATGAAGTATATTCTCCAACATCTTAGCTCTGCTGCGACTATAAAATGGTGGCTGAGAGGGAAAACACGGAGATGGAGTAAGTTGAAGACAGTGAGGAAAGTGAGATTATGAAAAGCGATCATTTCAAATATACTCACCAATCCGTAGAGCATCTCAAAAAGCACAGCGCCGAGACCCCACCAGTCCACTGCTGGAGTATATGGATGGCCTTGTAGCACCTCTGGAGCAAGGTACTGAGGAGTCCCACAGATTGTATGCATGATCCCACCTATGGACACACCTTCTTTACACAGTCCAAAGTCAGTCAGCATCACATGACCCTCACTGTCTAGCAGGATATTCTCTGGTTTGAGGTCTCTGGTAGAGAAACAAATGGGACAAAAGTGCTGATTTAGCCTTTGAGTTCCTGCAATGTGTACATGTTTAAACTTGTAAGCATTGAGCCACGAGAGACCTGGATGAGTGTCTATGCAGTGGGCTGTCTATATTTGTGTATGCACGTGTATACAGTATGTACCTGTATACAATGTTAAGAGAGTGGAGGTAGCCGAGTGCCGAGGCAATCTCTGCAGCATAAAAAGCAGATCTGTGTTCAGAAAATGACCCTTGCCTCTGAAGGTGGTAGAAAAGCTGAGGACAAACAGATGAGTGGTCAAACACACATTTCATAAATAACAAAGAAATTCAACACAACACAGCATCGTGATGAGAGCGGCAACAATTGACTGACCCCAGTTTTGATGAATGCTGGACTCAAATTTCCTTGTGACATCTCTACAACTAAATTGCATTTATAGGCTTAAGAAATACCTGAGCCTGTTAGTTTAATGTTTGATCTGACCTAGCTAACTGTGCCTACCCCCACCTGTCAGTGAATCACCAGCTTTGTGACAGATAACAGGTGAAGCTGGGGAAAACCACATCCAGCACCTGGACAATCAGAACAGGTGCCCCCCAGGGATGTGTGCTCTCCCCTTTGCTGTAAAGCTCCTGATGTTCGCAGATGACACAACAGTCATTAGTCTCATCCAAGACAGTGACAGGTCGGCCTAGAGATGGGAGGTTGAACAGCTGGCCCTGTGATGCGGTGGCAGCAACCTGGAGCTGAACATGCTCAAAACAGTGGTGATGACAGTGGACTTTAGGAAAAGTCTTTCCCACACCCCACCACCACACCAGCAGCACTGTATCAGCAGTAGAGTCCTTCAAGTTGCTGGGCTCCACTATCTCCCCAGACCTGACATGGACGTCCAACATCAGCACCAAGAAGGCACAGCAGAGGATGTACTTCCTGCACCAGCTCAGGAAGTTCAACCTGCCCCAGGAGCTGCTGATACAGTTCTACAGAGGAATCATGTTCTCTGCTCATCCATCACTGTCTGGTTTGGTTCAGCAACCAAACAGGACAGGAACAGACTCTAGCAGACAGTCAGGACTTCAGAAAGAATCATGGGAGCCAGCCTGCCCTCCATGAAGGACCTGTACACCCCCAGCCTGCCCTCCATGAAGGACCTGTACACCCCCAGCCTGCCATCAATGGAGG